TTGAAAGAATAATAAAGAGAAATAAGAGAGAAGACAATAATTTAATTTCGTCATCTAATTTGTAATCTATGAATAGATAAATAAGTTTTTTTTTGGAAAAGAAATTTAAACATTTACTGTTAATTTTTTCTTACCTTGAATGAAGAAATCAATTTAGACGATTACTAGTATTATTATCAAAGGTAAGACATCTAGTTTAATCAGAAAACACACGCGTACACAGTCATAGTTACAATAATCACATGGTTTAAAACAAACGAAAGAAACAATATTACGTCATTAGGTGAGAGATAATGATAGTTCAGTAAAAAAAAACTTATGTCATTTACAGTCTAATTTATATATACCATTATTAGAAAAGATTTAAATAATCCCATCGTTGATATATAGGACTGAATTTTGGTCAGTCTTTGTTGGCGTATATGCATCCTATGTAGATCGTCTTGATATGCCAATGTTTAACAAGTTTCCATCAGAATAGATTGATTTATAGCCAGCAGTTGAGTTTAAGATGTGATTCGTCCTATCTGGGACTCGTCACTTGAATATGCCTGAGACTGTGTTGATGTTCACACTGAAATTTAAAACTATTGTCTGTTTTTTCATACGCCCAATGTGTCATTGACTGAATTATCTGGATTCAGTACTTCTGTGGATAACACATCTTGTATTTGAAGCGAAAGATAGTGGGTTAAAGTCATAGTGTGAACATCAATATTGAGATTTAGCTGGTACACCTAGTTAACTCGTCCGAAATAAGATGAGAAACGTGTTCTGGATTCCACAACTCGTCATAAATCCATCTATTCTATAAAGAAATCACATTTACAGTTATTTACGTAATTGATGAGGTTGACAAAAAATTCATCGAAAATAATTTCATGTGTTGAATAAAAACACCATGGTAACTGGAGGATAATAATTAGAAGATAAAATGAGAATAACATCTCTAAGAGAGATATGAAAGGGAAAATAAAGAAGAGACGAATTCATGTCAAAACAACTTGTAAATTTAGATGGGCGGTTAATACCATAATGAAATAAGGGACTAAACATGTCAACAATTAGCACAGAGATCGGGCTTAATTGGTAAACTATCGAAGCTTCAATTATAATACAAACTTATGACGCTAGTTGTCTTTAGAGACGTACTGGAAGAAGAGAAACAAGCCCAACGTAAGATGAAACTGTGGAATGATGGATAAGACTATTTTGTAATAATTTTTCCCTTTTGTACTCGAATCGCGTGTTTTGATTTTTGGAAATATATGTGTTGTATTTGTACGTCATGTTCTTGCTCCTGAGGCATTCACTGGTCCTAAATGTCGTGTTGTTGTTTCAGATCTCTCCCGCTTACAAATAAACGCTAATAATACGTGCTACAATATATGCACTTTTTTAGAAAAAAATATAGTGAAACTACTCATTTGAATCAAATGCATAATACAGAATTGTACTTTCCTGTTCGTATTCTAATTAATTATTAATTTTATTCAAAAATAACCAAAAAGTGAAATAACGAGAGAGAGAGTGTGTGTGTGTGTGCGTAGGAAGCATGGAAACGAGAATAATTAAATGTAAACCAAAAAAAACTTTTAATGAAGTTCATTACTCAATCGATTGTGCTTATTCATTTCTTCTTATAATCAAGCATTGACATTTTGACGTTCCTTTTTTCTTCCTTCACCTTAGTGGATTAAAAAATAAACATTCATTTATAAATTAATAAATATGATTATTTGACTTGAGAAAAGTATAAGAGAAAAAAGTATACTGAACGACGATTTAATTAGAGAATGGAAGGGAACTAAAGAAGAACAAACAATAAAAAGTGAACGGTGAAGAAATTTCATTTTTCCCTCCAATATAATTCAGATCATCAATCATTTCAAAGTGTTTTTTATCCTATTGACATTATTACTATTACCATTATTATCATTATTATTGCTACTATTACCTTTACAACTACTAATATTGATTTCTACATCTGATCAATGCAAGTAGACAAATATAATTGGGTAAATAAATTAATATATTTGTAATATCTCAATGAGCATAAAAATTCGATTTTCTGACGTTTGGTAACTGAGTGTAAGCCACTTCTTCAGAGAACATGTATTTATTCAATATATATGATAAGAAATATTATTATTTTGATGGTAAGAGATATTCAAACTGTCCGCTATACCGAACCAAATAGTTCATGAACATCTTAAACAGTAGAAAGTTTATAGTTTATGGATTCAATCCATAAGTCGGTACGTCATCAAATATAATCAAATGTAATCAGACTCCATCTCGATGTATTTGTATTCAAACATATCATTTACTTTCATGCATTAAATATACCCAATCATGGACTACTTCGAAGTGTAATGCTTGCTGGTGTAGGAGTGGGTTAGATGAAAGATAAAAATGACCAAACTGAAACATTGGATCACTCTATGAAAATACTGATTGTTGGTCTGAGTCGTATAAGGGGGTCCTGGCTACCTTGTTAAATTCCTAGAAAAGTATCGTAGTCAATGGTTGGATACGTTGGATGATATGGTTCGAAATCCACCAAACAAGATAGATACATTCACGTTTTTATCTTTTCTTAGATCTCATTCTGCAAAGTTCTCGTATAGTTTTTATTGCACGAGTTTAGTTTATCTTCTCAAATCTTATTATACATGGCTACTGTTTTTACTACCTTTGATATTGTTAGTGCTTCTCCTACTTTAACATTAGTCTTGATAATTTCATCTTGCTTTTATGTTATGGTGTTGTAGCATGAACTGATCCAGAGATATACCAGATTCTACGTTGTGTGTAACTGACTGACTGATTAAAAAAACAATTTAAACGATGGAGCACTGGATAGGTGTAACTTTTTACATGGGACTTCTCTATAGTTTTAACTATTCACCATTTTATTTAACTCAAAAGTAACTTTTCGATGGTAAATACAAGTTATTTTTTCTATTGAGATCATGAACCGATTGATGTTAGACCACCGTTGGAAACCCGGAAGCACTGGACAACCGTTTCGTCCTATTGTGGGACTCCTCAGCAGTATGCATCCACGATCCGGCTCGCGGGATTCGAACCAGTAGGTTAAGCGTCCGCGCACGAGACTGAAGGCCCAGGGTTCGAATCCGAGAGAGGGATCGTGGATGCGCACTGCTGAGGAGTTCCGCGATGGGAAGAAACGGCCATCCAGTGCCTCCAGGTCTCCAACAGTGGTCTAACATCAATCGGTTCATGATCTCAATCAAAAACTTATTAATCTCCACAACCCCTATACTGATAACTACAAATTATTTAAATGAAATTGAAAGCAAAATAATATTTTTATTATAAACTAAGAAAGCTATGATAATGAACAGAATATCATTCTATGATTCATCGTAATCGACAGGATTTAGCTAACTCAAGCTACATGTTTGTTGGAAGTCATCGACAAAGTGATTGAAAATTAAAAGGGAACTTGTTTGTTCAGAAATCACAATTGTCTAACCCAGTAGCATAAACAAATATACCATCATTGACCTGTCAGGGTGGTATTATTTTCTGGAAACAAATATCATCAATTCTTCTTGTCATTTATGAGCTGATTTTTTAAATGTATAGCATAGTAACTGTTTCATCTGGACAGGGTCCATTGAGTATTCACCATAGACCTCAGTCAATAAACCATTTCAGATTCTAAAATGATATTTGAACTTCTTATCTATAAATAATTTCGGGTTCTTTACTTATATGTAAATTGTAATTGTTGGTATTTAAAAATATAGCAGAAATATTCGGAAAGTAGATTAGACTCATAGTGACATACTTTTAACTAATGTTCTATATTCCTACTGTAATTCGAATGTAAACACTATTATCCGAGTAGCTTGATCTTCTTGTGGGACCCTACTTTACGAATGATTTGGTAAATTACATCAAATATTAAGAGCGGAAACTTTCCTGAAGCCCTAGGCGTTATAATTTATATGGTAAACATATTAACAAGTTTTATTTGCATCGCTACATTATCACTGTTGTTGTTCAGGCACAATTGTTCATTAGAGGGGTATCTTAATAATGGCTCGCCTGTTTATGAACAACAAAGGTAACAAATAGATTCATAATATTCATTTCATGGAAGGATATTTAGTCGAGTCTATGAAAAACACTGTGTTAGTGAAAAAAATATGTATTATCCTGTTACTCAATTCACTTCTTTTTTTCAATGTTCAATTTATGTAAATTTTGAGTAGAAAAAAGATATGTTGAAGATCAATAAAATGTACACAGATTTCATCCTGAATATACAATCCTTATCAGTTGTAACCATAAAAAAAATTTTTCCTCTAACAGTCTGAAATATTTGATAATCTTTAAAAAGAAGTGTGAAGTAACCTTGGTTACTACTTTAATTCAATGCTTCAATTCTTGACTTGGTCTAAGTTGAACAATTTCAAAAGAAGATCAATTAAAACAACATGGAAAATTTATACTGCAATATGAAATGTTACCATACAGGACTAAGTTGTAGTAAATAACTTTGTTCTCTATAATTGATAATGATGACGACAATAATAATAATAATAATAATAATAATAATAATAATAAATAGTAATAGAGATATCCAGTCAGATTTGTGTCGTTATAGTCACCACATTTGAATTTAAAATGACCTTGACAGAAAAACCTTCAAATCACCATATTTCAAACACAGCGTCATTCTATGATTGATTTGGAATCGTCAATCATAACAATTAAATCAATTATTTACGTAATTAACTTGGGGTTATAAGGTTATTATTATTATTATTATTATTATTATTATTATTACGAAATTATATGATTTCATGTCTGTATGATTACCTCATAAGGATAGTTGTGATTACACGTCAATTTTTAAGGTCAAATATTAACCAATCAATGATGAGTTAGTCAATATATAGTTGAGCGTTAGAAAGACATATCACTTGCGCCTGTATATTTTTTCAATGATTCAATAGAATATTATACAAAAAGAATGCCCAATTTAACACGTGTACTATTTAGATCATATTAGCTATCCTATGCATATTCTTTGATTTATTCATTTATTCATTACAATTTACCTTAATACCATTATGGATTATGTTTAATGTTATTCAGGTATTGTGTTGAATCTATATCCATAACAACTGGATGCAATCATTTCTAATTCTTATATTTTTTTTTAAAAAAAATTATACATATGCCAATTTGAATAAAGACGGACTATTATTTTCAGAAATGGATTGTTTTTCATCTGCATCTGTAAGTTGATTTTCTTCTTAAATATATTTGTGACATATTATCATTTTGTTTAAAGGCCTTATTATAAATATTCGTTTTTCATTCACTTGGTATTGTTTGGCTTGTATCTACCCATTGAGGTTTAAGACTGCAATTAATCAGTCTGTTATTGGCATATGTGTATACTGTGCGTATGCCTCGATATTGCCTGAATTCACAAGCTATTTGTAAGCAATGATGGATAGTGGCTAGCAGTGGAATCGAGAACGCGCGTTTCGTCCCCATTGTACAAGCAAGTGGCTATCAGGACTCAGTAGCTGAGTGGATAACGCGATGGTGTTTGAAGCGGATGGTACTGGGTTCGAGTCCCAGGGTGAACATCAATTCTGAGATGCAGGTACATCCAGCTGACAAGTCCCAAATAGGACGAAACGCGCGTCCTGGATTCCACTGCTAACCACTATCGATTATTCGTTTTTCAGTTTGTATTCTTAATATGGACATTTGGTGAAATTATATAATTTATGGACGACGACCTTTGAGCGACGCCAAAGTGACCTTGAGAGTGTTCACCTAGTAACTAGAACTAAATGAGGGTTATAAAACTGTATGAGGAATTATAATTATGGTTTACTGTTGATGGGTAAAATTAGGAATTAGATTGAGGGTTTTCATCACGAGCTGGCATCAACTATAATGCCAAAACTGTATTTAGCCAAATGGATGGGTGAATTTCGCGCCAAAATTTGAGACCTGTTATATCTGGTTGGTTCGTTCATAAATTATAGTCTTGCCGATCTCCTTTTTTATCTGCTGACATTTATTTGATACTAAAATGATTTCTATGATATATTTACATTAATATAATCTCGTATATCAAAAGTAAAATATTTTCTAAGCTATTACGTCGTTAGCGGTGATTGTCCGAGGTTAAACATATCTTACTATTCTCATATTAAGTTATTTAAACTGTCTACTTTTTACTACTGATCTTCTCTAGTTTTAAAACTAGCGGACTGGGAAAATCTCTGAAAATATACATTCTAAGCATTTAAACATTTTCACCAATGAACTAATAGTGATGTTCCAATTTATTTCTATGAATTTGTTTATCTAATGTATTTTAGTAGAATTTTTGGATTAATTCATGGCACAGATAAAGGTGAGGTTATCTGCAACCTTTTCACTGTTGACTATGTTATACTCAGAATTTCCATTCATTTAGTCGATATATGTTGAATATTAGACTGTAATTTGCATAAAAGCTTTCATTTGTACTTTCGTGTGTTAGTCTTTATCAGTTTTAATGGTGCTTGCAAAATAAGATCGTCTAGTTAAAAGTATGCGATTATATATACTTTGTGCCAATTTATTAAACAATGGACTGAGAGACTATAGTTCATGGATGAACAAGTCAGATGTAAAATAGAACGTCTTGGATTTTCACTCAAAATTCATTCACCTTAATTACTAACCCTACCCTTAATCCTAGCTCCTAACACTACTTGCTATTGATTGTTTAAGATTTCACAAGGTCATCTTTGGGATCGTTGAAGGTTGCTCATAAGTTATAATCTCTTTCGTTTAGATCTATGGTATATATTACTTTAAATAATCGATTCACAGCTATATGGTTTCATAACATTTACATATTAATTGTTTCAATTGTACACAGCCAAGATCAGTTCATCTTATTTAAAGAAATATTATGGACAGTAGATAAGCAGGATTACTTCTATGTTTCAATAAAATACATATGTTCATTTCTTAAAATGCTACTTAAAAGTGAAATTTTTCAACTCAAAATTTGTATATAATGTAGTATTTTAAGTATTTAGAGACAATCTACACTTGGTTGTCAAATGCGCTCATTAGCATTCTTACGAAATTTGTTACTTTCACCCCAGTAATTCGAGTTTACTTTCTACCTAGTGTCAGTGGATGCGCACTGCTGAGGAGTCCCATACTAGGATGAAACGACCGTCCAGTGCTTCCAGGTTTTCTATGGTGGTCTAACGTTGATACATTCATATTCTCTATCAAATCTGTTTTAGTTAAATAGCTGTACAAAGAGACTAGCCTTCCGTAAAGCTGAAATCGAGTATGGTGAAAAGTGGGAAAGATATATGACTAAGATTTGTTTTTAACTTTTCTGTCTTCACAGGTCCAAAATAAAATGAAACGTGCAACCGAGATACCAGGACTAGCCACGACTCAAAAATATACTGTCTACGGGTAATACTTTTGAGTTCACTTAGGAAGCACATGTACTAACAGGGGCTGATTAAATGCAGTCCTGAAAATTAATAACCCTTACTAATACTTCATGGTCTTCAGTTGAATCTATGCCTTTATTTGTTGACTAGTTACGTTGTCAGTTTTTATAAGCGAATGAATAAATCTCCAGTAATTCATTGCTGGTGATGTTTGTTGGTGTAGGAGTAAGTCAGAAAAAACCTAGGAGGGGTCAAACCAAGATAGCATAGTTTATAAATTCATTGACTGTTGAACTAAGCCATGTGGTTAGGTGCAGCCTACCTATCTTAACAAATTGTTAGGGGCTTTGGGTGAAATGACCATAAATCTTTAGCAGTGGCGCAGGTGCATTCACTCTTTATCTTTCCTTAGATTATAGGTGTCCAAACCACCTTGTAAATTTTGTAGTTCCACCAATTCATATTTTCCCAGATGATATCTTCGATACCTAGTCCTTTTTATTATCACTATTGCTGTTATTACCTCTACTACTCTAGGTTTTTCCTTAGTAGTTTTATTTTGCTGTGCCGATGGGATGTGGGAACTTGGACTGGTTCCAGGTTTTACGTTGCGTATGATTAATTCTGTATTTTTCAATAATATTCCCAATGCCTAGTCTTTCTCATTATTCGTAGTACTGCAGTCAATTTGTTTCCTTTGTTTGTTAATTTTATCTAGTCATGTTAATATGGTATGGCTAGACTGAACGTTGATAATAGCTAACGGAAATTAGCTTTTTAATACTCCTATTCTTCTGTCCTTCGGTTTCAATTTTCCCTTCTTAACTTTGCCTCTCAAGTTTAGAGTTCCATTTTTTAGCCGCCTTTATCTCCCATCCTATGCTTCTCGTCTTACTAATTTTCTCTTTCTATACTGACTTTCATTATGAAGACTTGAACTAGTGCATAATCGTGGAGAGTTTTACTTTAACTAAAACAGATCTAGGTGATAAATTGTTATTTGTAATTAAGATATACTGGACAGATTTTTAACTGACAACATTCAATGTTCAATGGATGAATCATTCTTTCCTAGAAAATTTAGTTCAACTTTATCACTATAAGCAAGTTTTTATGAATTATTGATTTTAAAGCTTGGACTTTCTCCTCATTGATTTTTCAAGACTACCGAGCTTATCAACTTTTATTGTCGTATTTTTGTTTGTATTTTACACACATAAAGGAAGCTAAAGGTTTTTTTTAGTTATCAGAGCTTACGTAAACTTTAAAATGGATTTCTGATAAACTTGTAAAGGGCTTCGATAGTTATTTTAAGGTCAACCTTACGAATTGTTTCAGTTATGCCTTCCAATCAAGTAGCATAGTTATCTAATCTGTGCGTTTATCTGATTTTGTGATGCTAACTGCCACTGAAACTATTTCGGCACATACATTCTAATTCAATTTAATGAAGACTGATAACGGTGGAGATTTGAAGCTTAGGTGGATGATTTTGATGGAAGCTATGATGACAACTGATACCAGTAGGGCACTATTTGACTATTATTGGTTAGTGTTCTAATGGACAAAGCTGTCATCTGAAGCTATGGATTCTAGGCTGGAGTTCCAGTGGGAGTTATGCGTATATCAGTTCAGTCTCAATTATGAAATGCATAATTTCCGTAAATGGTACCGTCTTATTTAAACTGAGTTAGAAATGCTTAGAAAGGTATCTTCGTAAATCATCCATCATAGAATAATCAATTGTAATGTTTATAATTCTGATTGTTGACGGAAAATAATCGATCAAGTTAATTTTTTTGTAGCCATTAATCTGATTGTCTCATGATTCGCTACATATTATAGTAAACGACCTGAATAGATTAGCTGTAACCTTACAAGCTGAATTACTTTATAACTAAATTCTAAAGCTTAAAATATGTCATTTAAATGTAATTTATAAGAGGGTTACGATTCATGTTTCTTCAAAAAATTATGAACTGTGAGTTCGATAAAAGTCCTATCGATTAAGGAGACCATAGCCCCTTGAAGTTGGAAGATCATAGAATGTTGACTACGTTGTTGAAAAGTATTAAGCTTACAAAGACGCTTGACAAACCCGAGTTTATTCCTACATGATGTTTTAGATGTCCACCACTGGGTACTCAAACAAAAAAGAAATATTTGTCCAATACTCCCTGCTTTCTTAATGTTGCCGTGCTAGTGGGGTATATCAGCTTGAACCAATGTACACGTGTCGGGTTCTATAGTGCGTTAGATTACGTTCTTCGTTTTAAATATTTTCTAAAAAAATTAATTTCCCAAAGAACTCAGATTTTGTTTTAGCTGCTTAATTATAATCATTTCATGAATAATAATAGTGTGTATTACGAAAGCATTAAATACAGTACTTTTGCTGTCTGAATAATCCTTTTAGGTAAAATATTGATTTTTTGTACTTATCAACTGAACTGTTAATTATTGTCAATAATCATCTTGCATGAACTCAAAATTATTGATCGTGTGTTATCTTTTATATTGAGATATTTATAGCTAGAAGGAAAGTTTACTGATTACCACTGTCATTATTTGGCATAAAGGTAATTCTGTTAAGACTACGCTGTAATATAATCTGTCATAGTAATAATAATAATAACCTTAAGTTTTAGCGGAGGTAAACAATCTGTGTAGCTGATTTACTCAGTCACAGTTAGTCGTTGCTTTATCTTAAACATCATTAATTTAAACCGTTTTTTTCTTACATTAATTATTGATTACATAATCACTGTCACTAAATTTTACATTAGTATTTTGCAAACAAAAATG